TTATATTTCAGTGAAACTCTTGAATTTCAGAGTGTTATAATATTTGTATTAAAACTGAGTGTGGAACTTGAAATGTTCCGCAATATATTCCAACTTTCACCTCATAAAATTTGACCTCCGATTCCAAAATATCGAAAACGAAGGCAAGGTCTAATGCCGACACCAATTTCATCCATCCCCGCTGTTACACTTGCTTTAAATCACAATCAAAAACTCCGGAGTTATCACCTACTTTCCTTAATGGGGAACGTTACCGAAAAGTTTCCCAAAAATTTCACAGATGCTTCACGGAGAACTGAAATGAAAACGGCGATATCAAATATTCAAATATCAGGCACGTCCTGCGGAACAAATGGGATCATAAGTATATGAGAATCCAGAAAGTGTATAAATATAGAAAATTTTGATTGATGTAACTAGTTTTCGTTTCTTCATGGCTATACTCAAACTGAACGTTTTATCTTCTTCTTTGTTCTTTCATACGGTTAGGTCGCCGTAGTGAATTTGTTGATGCTTCATTATTTAGGATTTTGGCAGGTATTTGTCCTCTTTCATCCGGATGTCTCATTGAATTTGCCTGTACTTGGTCAGGTAATATTCTTTGTGATGTCTGATGTAACCCAAGCACAGGCAAATTTAATGAGACATCCGGATGAAAGAGGAGGACAAATATCTGCCAAAACCCTAATCAATGAAGCATCAACAAATTCATTATGGCGATCTAACCGTATAAAAGAACAAACAAGAAGATAAAACGTTCAGTTTGAGTATAGCCATGAAGATGATAGCACAGTCTGCTATCGAAAGCGCTCGCATATAATAATTTTTTTAACTGCTGTAAATCTCTACTTTTCAAATTCCTGTAGAATTATATTGTAAATTTCATAACCCATATGCAGCAGTCATCACTCCTGTTACCACCATAAAATATAAACACCCCAGTACTTAGAGCGTGTCTACTGGAAAATTATATTATATTCTTCAAGCTCTCACGTATATGCGAATGACAGATTACCTGAAATAATTACAATAACCGACTCTCTGAGCTCCATCCAGTCCATACGAAAAATATATACTCATCACCCTATCGTTAAACTTATCAAATGTGAGCTCTTTCACGTACACAACAAAGACAAAAGCAGGAAGCTATAGTATAGGTTCCATCCCATATCGGCATTAGTGGGAACAATAAAGCCCATCAAAGAGCGAAAGAAGCTGAGCTAAAAGCAGATGCCGTGGCAGAGACGAGAAACACACCCAGCGACCTCAAAGTGACTAATTCATATTATTTCCGATATGTATCCATACCTACAAAATTTGTATGGAACCGACGTCCAACTATGAAGTTATTATCATTTATCTCTACATAAAGTTTCAAATGTATTCAAATAACCAAAAATTATCTCCAGAGATAATGAAAACTGGAAATATCCAATTTTTCATTAAAAAACATGAAGTTGCGCCACTGATAATGGCTCCAATGTAAATCAGTTCTCACCCAGTTCAAACGTTTCCGTCTGTGGTCGGTGTCAACAAAACGCTTCTACATGATACCACTACGAAGACGCTGGCGAATCGTACGGCTTGACAAATTACTCCCATGCGTTCTGCAAAAAGGTTTTCCATAGCCTTTTGCAGTTTAAAAGGGATTCCTGTGTGCAAATTGCAACAGGTATCGATCTTGACGTTCTGTGCATTTCGTGAACACGGCCACGTTCAGTGAACCTCAAGATTACTCTGGGGACCATGCTCTGAATAAAATCTAGGTCTCTAGTTATACGCCACTGACTCCAACCCCGCTCATGCCAAGTCACAATTCTCTTGCGATCTGGAACATTAATATTAGACAAGAGTTTGAGAACTCAACTTCGATATTTTGTAAAATTCGCAATTTGTTATTGAAGATTAAGGTACTTGTACTTACTTTATTAAAACCTATTCATGAAATGTCCGTCTTATGCACTAATTCTGTAGGTGGCTGTATATTTTAAAAGAAGAAGAAATAAATATACTGCAGAGTCAACTTCATAAATATGTGAGCTGATGGCAGTTTCGTATTTACTTTTTTTTCATTATTCTAGCTAAGCTTTCAACAAAGAACTTACGTATTTAGTAAATGCAGTATTCACTTTATTTTTTTGAAAAATCGCAGGTGAAACAATAATTCCTCACATAAAAATGAAAAATAAAGATCACAACACTTAAATGGAAATAAAAAACTGGCTAATCGAATGTAGGTAGCCCGCGAAATTTGAACATTCACCTCATTTTTTGAACAGTGCACTAATAACTGAATCTAACAGTACGGAATTTAACAGTACTCTAAAATTAACGTGAGAATTTGATAAGTTTGTCAAATTCTCATTGAATTCTGACTTCAAACTAAAAATTTCATTAATTTTCGACAATGAACTCGAAATTTTGTGATTTAAAAAAAAATCATTTGGACCATTGTAAATTTGCTAACCAATTTCCTCATTCTGAACCAAACATTCTATTCTTTTGCTTTTTATGATAAGCTGTTCACTTTTTAAAGGCATATTACACTGGATATCCGAACATTTTTTTTTTAATCTACTAAGGTTAACTGGATCCATAGGTCAAGCTTCGCTTTTTTTTAGTTATTGAGCATGGCATGTGAAGATGCAGCACCTTTTGGATATATTTGTCGTTATGAAGGGTTGACTTTGACATTTCTTTAAAAAAGTTGCGATAGATAAGTGTAAACGAATATTTGGACTACGGTCACTATGATTCCCTATTGCAATAATCAATGTTTTCCATGAGTTTGACGTTCGAATTATTCAACCTAGATGTCGCATCCATTGAACGCCGAAAACGTCAAGGAGAGAAACAGAAAACTGGACATCTCAGATATACTGCACCCTCTGTTGGACTACTGGACTACTGACCGAATAGAAATCTACGCTTACCAATGACCTTGAAAAATAGATGGCATATTCTTCATACTCAAAAGAAAAAACCATCCAGTGATAAATTTATTATTACTGTTGTTTGAAAAGAAATGGGATATTAAGTTTATTCATTAATTTATTTTGTCTTTCATCACTCTGTGTTTTTTATAGTTTGCATTAATGATTTGCGAAATTCGTTTTGACACATTGTATGGACGCATGATTTTTGACAATAATTTAAATCCCAGAGTATCGATATATCGTTTTATGAAATATTGAAGATGTTTGGTGGGTAGGAAGAATACAGATGATAACAACAAATTTCATAGCGTTCAAATATTGACAAATATGTCTCTTACAGAAACGACGTAGAACGACAGACCACAAGACAACATTGTCATGTCCACAGAAGAATGCGCAAAACATTAACATTGAGAAGTAAAAAATTGACCAAATATAATGTCAATTAAAATTATGTTGCTTCAAACGAAATGTGCGAAAGCAATATTATAACTTATTAGTGATATTGTTAATGTTGATACTAATGGTAATTTAGGCTGCATGTGTCAGGCATCATGTTAGCCAACTTTGAAAACACTCAAATTGAATCGGGGAATTCAACTTCTTAACGTCAAAATATTGTTTTTTTTTCTTTCTCAAAATAAATTCAGTTACAATCAAGAAGGATTCCTGATTTCAACTACAAATTGTAAATTGCAGGTTTATTCAATGAACTGTTTAAAAATGTGTCTTGGCAACACTGACTCTTAAAAACAAACTCATGGATTAAAATATTGGTGGTGTGGAATGCCAGGAATGTGGAATTGAGAGAGGAATTAGGACTTGTTGAATTTGGTTATCTACACTAGATAGTAAAAAGTAAAATAAAATTTAAATATATATCCGGTTGGCAAATATGGACGATAAGTAAATATGCAAATCAAAGATGAGTAGTGTAAATCATACTTTTCTTGTAGGTTGAAACCCAAATCATCATTGCAACCTGCTGCAGGTGATTCTGAACTTTCCTGTAGTAGTAACAGTTCTCCAAAAAAAACGGTAAGTGTACTAGTCTTCGTCATCTTGTTTCAATGAGTACAGATTAGTTATTGAACCTGTGAAAACCCTTAAAAAAAAAACGCTCCCACATTAGTGTTATAAAATATTATAGACCACATTTACAGGGTATCTTAAAGGAAGATTTCCAACAATCCATGTCACTAGACCCAACATTATAATGCCTGTGTAACAGCTTTTTCCGTCAAAAAGTATTACGCTAAACTTTTTGGGAAGAGGATTGGCATTTTTTAATCAAATTTATTGAGTCCTGTAAACATCCACTTTATGGGGTATAATAATTTTGTTATATGAAAAGACTAATGTGTAAAATTGTTTTTTTAAATGATGCCCAATTAAAAAAAACACCTCACTGCTTGACTTGATGAAAAAGGGTAAGTGATGAATGAAATTCGATGAGAGAAGATTTAGGTTCATCAAATACTTTTCTATTCAGTAAAACCTGAGCTAAAATGGCTATTAAAAAACTTAACATATTCAAACACGTTTTAGAACATAAAAATGTTGTTTTTTGGTGATCATCTTCCTCTTGAAGATGATCACTTGTTGATCGAAACACGTTAAAATAACGGTTTGATTTGGGGAAAAAACTCCATTAATATTCATTACCACACCAAACGTTTCAAACAGTGCATCACAAGTAAGTCAGATGTTTTGAGTTAGCAACGATTCAAGTTAGAGACAAGTTTTATAAAGTAGAGGTGTAATTTTGCTTGATCCATGTACAAACTTCCCAGCGGTGGATGTTAAAACCCTGGTTGTTATAACAATGGATGTTATATGATCTTAGAAACGTGGTCATACACAAAACAAACTGGTGATTAATCAATTGTATGAGGAACAAACAACAAGATAGATGATAGAGCGAAATCGAGTCCTGATGAATTCGATAAGGTTTTTTGAGATAGTCACAAAGCATTTAGCAATTGATTTCTTTGAAGATATGCCTAAATCAAAAAATTCATTATGCTCTCTTCTCATTACATCACACAAACATGAATTTTTATTTATAAATCATCCAAATTTGATTCAATTTACTTTTCACAGGTGAGGTTTTGATGAATTGAAACCTAGTTTTGACAAATAAGTTCTCTCTTAATTGCTTTCGCATTTTGTTCCTTTTGGAGTTTGGATAAACAGAGATTCGATAGAAGCACATGTGTGTTCCACTTCATTTTAACTTGTCATTCCATGCCTGTATTGATATTGGTTGAAAAAAAAGTATTTTTTTCCTATTCTGAATGTTTAAATGAAAAGCAAGGTCAAATTTCAACTGTGAGTAAACCAATAGGTAAGATGAATCCAACGTACCGTAAAGTTGTGTGTCACTTGAAAATATTTGTATTATTCATGGTCATATTCTTCGCCAAATTCATAATCATAGCTTGGGTTATCAGTATTTAATAAGAAAACATTTACAAGACTGGAATTACAACACAATAGCATAATAATTCACCTGTCACTAGTCCCAACAATATATTCTCCTGGATTTCACATAAACATAAATATTCAAATATCAGTGTTCACCTCAAACATTTTTCTTAGGAAACATTCCTAGCAGCAAAGATAGCAGCGGAAGCAGCTTTAACGCTCACCTTGAGAGTTTCGAAAGGTGAACTGAAGAATGGCTTGGCATTGATTCGACCTCCTGGACATCATGCTATGACTAACGAATTCTGTGGGTATTGCTATTTTAATAATGTTGCTCTTGCTGCTCAAGAAGCTATCGATCAAGGATTCGCGAAGAAAGTACTTATTGTGGATTATGATGTTCACCACGGCCAAGGGACACAACGCATGTTCTACAATAGAAACGAGTGAGTTTGGAATTCTCTCATTTTAGCCTTTGCAATGCTTGTATGTTTTTGTGGGTTGAATCTTGCAATTAATTTTGAAAAACTCATCCTCAACCGATTGAACTGAAATTTTGAATGACAGTGCATAGTTAGATAAGTAACGCCACTTTTCATCCAACATAAAAAGGCTTTTTTGTAAAATGGGTAAATGACATGACAAGATCGATTCACTTTCTTCTTTCTGGAGCACGTTAGTAAGAGTTTGTACTTGAAAATGTTTTTACTATTAATTCATTTCATAACTCTAATACTATTAATATTAACTGAAATTATTGTACGCAGATGATATGTAGATTTTTGGGATAATCCATGACAAAAGGTGAATGGCATGAGAGGAATTTATTTTTGGAATTTGAAAACTGTTCATGTGTTCTTTCATGTGTGCTTTAAATGTTCTTCCAGATTGACCAATCTAAAACTTCATACATGATCCACATATCATTTTTTATGTACCGGCTGCCACTGTAGAGTATTCAACATAGATTCAATAGGGGTATACTGGTTGCATCTCAAAATGATTCTCATACCTCAATTTTGTGGTTTCTGCCGCTGTCCCATTTGATTATGCAGTTGTAACATGTTAGTCTAGCAAAGGTTGATAAAGATTTTGAAATTCTATAGAAAAAATACATTTTCTCACATATCTTTCTAATGGTATATTTGGCATGCTTATTCAAATTTAATTGATGGTCTATAATGAATCCTAGGTACTTAATTTCATTTACAATCGTGAGTTGATTATTGAATATGCTGATATTAACGTCGTTAGTATCAATCTTTCTTTGATTCGAATTTGTTGTAACAATCATATTCACTTGTAGATATAATTCAATGTTCTTTAAAGATATATTGATATTTTGTACAGCTTCTTTTGAATCACAGTTTTCCGTATATACAAGGGTATCATCAGCATATAAATTAATATGGTGTGAACTAGGTACATAGTTGATATCATTTATATAAATAATGAATAGCAGTGGTCCCAAAACACTACCTTGTGGTACACCTATGTCATTTATAATTTGATCTAACATTACATCACAAATTTTAGTCCTTGACTTCTTTGCTCAAGATAACTATCTACCAGTTTGAAGCGTTTCCAGTTACACCATAATACTTCAGTTTATTGATTGAAGTTTTCCTATTAATTGTTTGAAAAGCACGCTTGAAATCTAGAAATATAGCAACAATATATTCTTTCTTATCAATACTTTTTGTTCCACTCTGTGACTGTTAGTTGTAATGCTGTTTCGCATGAGTGATTCTTACAAAAACCAGACTGATTTTCGATGAATAAATTATTTTCATTAAAGTATATAACTAGTTGTTCATATACTGCCAGTTCCAGTACTTTTTCAAGCGTTGGAAGACTGTTTATTGGACGAAAATTACTTGCATCACTTGTATTATTTATTTTCGGAATTAGAGTCACTGTACTAACTTTGTAGTGGTTTGGAAACAGTCCCGTGTAATATGCTTTATTGTCTAAGGAAGTACATTCTTATTGACAAAGATTGTGAAATATTATTAAACTCCAGCATATAACATCAAGGTAGAAAAAACACTAAACTGTTCAAAGTATACTCACAACGAATAAAAAAAATAGAAAACATTTATAGATTTCCACTGGAAACATAATGAGTACGATAGGTTAAATTCTGTAGATGGAAGATGTCAGTAAAATGAATCTTGGTATTATTCATCCAGGGTACAATGGGGCTTCTCAACCATGAGTATTTTTACATCTCTTAAGAACCTAGATTCGTTTAGAATCTTTTACAAGGCCAAAGAGTGACTTTTTTGGGATGCATTGGTCGCTCTTGGGTCTCATGTGGATTGGTATCGTCCCAAAATCAAAAATGTTGTTTGTTCAAGTACCCATTCATCCAGAAATAGACCTCAACTCTGAAGATGATTTTTCAATGGAAATTAGGGCGATGTTTTTGACAGATCTTGCTTTTCGTCGACGTACGGGTGTTGATCGACCTTTTACTGAATCAGTGGAGTTAAATGTATACAAACAGATGTGTGAGAATCATAAGTGCTGATTTATTTTTTTGTTTATTTTCAGCGTACTTTATTTTTCAATACATCGATATGAGCATGGCCAATTTTGGCCCAATTTAAGAGAGAGTGATGCAGACTACATAGGAGAAGGTGTGGGGAAAGGTTATAACGTAAATGTTCCATTGAATGCAACTGGATTGGGTGATACGGAGTATCTGGCAATTGTCCTTAATATCCTGCTGCCAATAGCTTATAAGGTAACTCATTTAACTATATTTTATAATTTAAAATGTATCAGTATTCAGAGATACACGAAAGGCTATAACAGATTAATATCGACAAACACAGTTTGTCTCACCGAGATCTCACCCAATATTAAAGAATGTAAACCCTCATGACCGAAGATAACTGTGTGAAAGCTATTTTCCGGGGCTTTTGGCCGTGGTATGCAAGTTTTTATGCCTTACGATTCGTCTACTACTGTGGTAGACATTATCAAAGGGGAGTATTCATTCTAGTATTCACAGTAATGGCGTGTGTTTGTTTTTTAACCTTATATTGTTTCAACATTACACTTACAGAAAAATTACGGAACTAAATGTACTTTTATAAAGCACATTTCAGTAATATTTCAAAAAAAGTCTCCAAAATTAAATTACCTTTTGCTTATAAATATTTGTTTCCCAAACCTACTGAAACTTTTTTTTGTTATATTTTAGTTCAATCCCGACCTTATCCTGATATCTGCAGGATTTGATGCGGCTTTAGGATGTCCTGAGGTAACTATAAACTTTTTTTTTCTTTTCTAGTTCAACCCCGACCTTGTGATTGTGTCTGCTGGCTATGACGCTTGCTTGGGTGATGAAAAGGTTAGATAACATTCCAAAAAAATAATGTTACTCAAATAGTATTTGATAATGCCTCTCACCAACAAACTAAACACGCTAAACAGCTAAAATTGTGAACATATGTTCGAGACAAGGGTACCAACATGAAAATATAAAACAAATCGCTAATCGAATATACTCAGCCCGCGAAATTTGAACATTCATCTTCATTTTTTGAACAGTCCACTTACGCTGGTGAACCTAACAATAACATTGCTCTTTTCTTGAAAAGGACAGGCTTGGACGTGGCTTGAGCAAATTCAATTCAGTGTCAGATAGATTTTGAGTATAAGAGTTGACTTGCCATCCTTGCCCAAAACTTTATATTGGTCAAACGGGGAGAACTTTTTCCCAAAGAATAAAAGAACATAGGAGCAGTTTCTTGAATTTGAACCAATTCAGACCAATTCCACATTTGCCAACCGTTTTTTAGCAGAATTACATGAGTTCAATGACTATGGCCTGTTACATTCAGAAGAGAAAGATTTAAAACTCAATCTTTTAGAATGTTCAGAAATAAATAGATTTGAGAATTCTGAAAATTCACTGGATGACCGGATAGATTATAATTCTTCTCCTCTTCTGAATCTGTTTTCTATTGTGGAAATTGGTAGTTAGTTTATTACATGTTCATTTGAGGAGTTGATGAAATTTCCTTTTAGGTTGTCCATTGGTAAAATTTTCTTTTATGTTTGAAAATTTTCAATTAGTTTATACTTAAACTCAAGGAAACTTATTAGTCATTGAGTAGCCATAAGAATCAAATTTTATTACTGTAAACTGTTGAATTAAAATCTCACAATACAGTGTTACTCAAATGAGTATATGCATTACTTATAATGATGTGCTTATGAAAAAAACCTTGAATCAAGTTATGAAAATATATTCCAAATCTATCACAAGAAGCCATAGAAAAACGTGTTGGTTAATTTCTATTCTTACATTTTCAGGGAGAAATGATGGTTACTCCACACTTTTATGGAAACTTGATAACACTCCTTTCTGGATTAGCAGATGGAAAAATTGTAGTTTGTCTGGAAGGGGGTTACTTTCCGGAATCTCTCGCAGAGGGAGTAGTATGGACTCTGAAGTCCCTTCTCGGAGATAATTGTTACCCAATAGATATTCCGTCGGGCACAGAAATACATCCAGCCGTCGTTGATGTCATCAACAACTTGAAATTTTTCCTGCGGGATTATTGGGACTGCTTCAAGTTGGATCCGCTGTTCGAATATCCAAAAGAGGAATCTGGGACTGAATGTGTGGAAATAGATTGTGAGGAGGAACATGTACCACGTTTATCTTACACGTTTGTGCCACCAAAAGAGTATTTGCCATTTGAGACGACCGGTTTTTACCCTATACATTCCGAGGAAAAATATGACATGTTCATAGGAATGGTGAACGGCCTGAGAAATGGTAATGAGATCATTCATTTTATTCTAATCTGTTTTTCTCGAAACAAGTTTTCCAGTTTCCACAGAAAAACTGGAAAAATTATTATAGTGAGTCTGTGAATAAAAGTGATTGTGATTCTAAGGTTTATAACCGATACCGCGCAGAAATTTGAAGTAAAACCATCAAGCACCTGTGCAACGTCTTCCATTTGGAAGATTCGTCGCAAGCTACTTCCTGCATATGAAAAGCAGAAATTAATTTCATTTGGTCGATACGACCAACCGATAGACTGGTTTCGGGGTCCTTGCCCCATCATCAGTACCGGGGCAGGTCATTTCAGACGGAGTGAACCGACTGAGTATCCCAACCAAACAAAATATTAATTCCAGCTAGTAATAAACTCTATCTGCAGTTGATTCAGTAGGATGTCCACTGCGCCATCTACCGACAAAGCCAGGAAACAACTCCATAAACACATACTCCGGGGTGGGAGTCAGAAAAATGATAATATTCTGGAGAGTGACATTACATGCGCAAAGTTCAGGTGAAAAACACCTTACCCCTTGCCTCTCATGTGGACCTACGACTTTGTAGGTACATGTGGCAGATACCTGACGGAAAGACAACAACTAACCCAGCTAATGCCGCGCAGAAAGCTGAAGTAAAACCATCAGGCACCTGTGCAACGTCTTCTATTTTCAAGATTCGTCGCAAGTTAGTTCCTGCACCTGAACTTTGTGCATATAATGCACCTCTCCGGAATATCATCGTTATTCTGACTCCCACCCCGGAGTATTTATTTGTGGAGTTGTATCCTGGCTTTGCCTGAAAGTGGCGCAATGGACCGACCAAGTGAAATTAATTTGTGCTTTTCATATGCAGGAGTTACTTGCGACGAATCTTCCAAATGGAAGACGTGCACAGGTGTCTGATGGTTAGCTGTTGTCATTCTGTGGGTATTTGCCACACATATCTACAGTCGTAGGAACAAGTCTTCAATGTTTGGGGCTTTGTTCACAAGATGGAGTTGTTAGTAGTTAACAATATTTCCCTTAGATGAATGTTAAATACATGTAGTTGGGTCACGTTATGAAAATTGTATTTAGGAATTTGATTTACTTCAATATCACACGGTTTTAAAATAATTTCATCATTGGTGTCACTAAAGACATCTTTACAAACTGTACGAGATGGGAAATTACTGTGTTATTGCTCATAAGCTTTCGATATCAACCAACAAAGAATATTCATTTTCTAGATTATGATAATGGGCGTTCATGTAAAAATGCCATTGGTTATGTTTACGACAATGAATATTTGCTACATACACCAACTCACGAAGCTTGTAGACCAGTTCCAGAAAGGCCAGAGAGATTACTAAGAATTATGGAATATTTTAAGGAATTTGGTGTTACGGAAAGGTGCCAGATGGTTGAGGTGAGTTGTTTAGTTGTGAACTATTTACAAATTTGAACATGTTTCAAACAGAAACATTCAAATAGGCATGTGAATCAATGAACTAATTACCAATTTCAATATTAAAAAACTGTTTCGAAAATGGAAATTCATTCAATTATAGTTGGTCATTCAGTAAATGTTCCTAATGTTTAAATCTATCGATTTCAAAGCATTCCAAAAGATGGAGTTTCAAACCTTTTTTTTGATTTCCACGAGATATTCCAGGTTATGTGGAGAAATGGTTCCTACAAAAGTTGTAGATCTTTGTATTTTCTACAACTTTTGTATTCGACTTTTCTCAATAGCAGATCTAGTGTCGGTGGAAATAATGAAAATTATTTTCCACCTCTAAAAATCACACCATATCATCCTTTGTACCTTAATTCATTTTTCCTCATAAGCACATGTTCTACCTTTTGTTATTATTTTTTTTCTCTTACTTCAGTTCCTACAGACTTCTGCACTGTTTATAATGGTGTCATAATTTTGATCCATTGTTATTTGATATTATCATTTTCAGATAACTCATTTTGATGAAAGGAATTGGATTGAGAAAATACATGATGAAAGCTACATCAACAACGTGATGAACCAAAAGCAAATCACCGAAAAAACAGATTGGTTTTTCAACAAGGATACCCCCAGCTGCTTGCTAAAATGTGTTTCCGGAATATTATCGCTCGTCGAAAGTATTCATAAGGGTGACGTCAAGTCCGGTGTTGCCTTAATTCGACCTCCAGGACATCACGCAACCTACAATAATGGCTCAGGGTTCTGTTTTATAAATAATGTGGTGATTGCTGCGAACTACCTCGTAAATAAGCGTCGCTATAAAAGGTGAGAAGCTTTTGTGGCTGAATCTGTCTATCCTTTGGATTTTACCATTTAATAATAATAATAATACGTCTGATCTCAGTGCTCAATGTACAGTACCCAAGTCCCTACTATAAACATGTAATGTTTTTTGGGATTCATATAATTTATTTATTTAGGTACTAATGAAAATTGAGAAATAAAACCTCCTATGTTTTTTTTTCACTTGTATTTGTAACTGATGTTACTGCAGTTTAGTCTTTTAGGGACGTTTTCAAACGAATGCAATATATATGCCCCTATATACCTATACAACCACTCTAGGTAATAACAGATGGTCCGTAATGACTTTATTACCTGCATTTTGTTTACCTGTGACAATGTAGGTACGCTAATCTGAAAACCGACTAGTAGACCTGGTCAATTTGGTCACACAATAGGTTATATCTGCACTGCTCATTTCCAAGGGTTCCAAATGATTGAGTTTCCAACCCTTGCCTGCATAGTGCAAAATTTCCGTATTGTTTAGAAGGAATGGTTAGAAAATGTCGAATCTTTTTTACCTAGTCTGAAGGACCTTTCATGTTCAGCGTCCCACATAAACACTTTACACTCCGGACACTTAGGCTTATAAACTCCAGATTTCTACATCTTGTCCACTTCATATTTGGCACTGAAAAGGAAATTAGGGTGGCCTGAATGCCACTTCCACATTGTTTTTTCCGGAAAATCCCGTAATTGTCTCTGTTCTTCTACCAAAATATGTTAACGGTACAAATTTCTTGATTTCTGACTGTTTGATCTGGGGGTATATTAATCTGTACGTGAATTTGAGGCTTTGTGTTCTGGCTAACTTCTGGATAGTATCTGCGTTGAAACCATTCTTATGTTCTACCTGTATAATCGTTTTAATTTCCCTATCTAGATTGTTAGCAGACAATTCATCGATTTATTCATTTAGGTACATTAGAGAGAGAGTGGGTCCCACAACCGAACCTTGCGGTAGCCTTGCTTTCATATACTTTGTACAAATATCGCTTTTCCCAAATTTTCTGTTCCCTCTCGGGTGGAATTCGAACCAATTCAGGCAGTTTTCAGCAACTCTGTAGTGATACAGCTTTGGCAGATGTATTTCATGATAGACACCAACTTTTTTGGTGAAATTTACATCGAGAAGAGTGTTACAGTTCTGGTATATAGAAGTGTTTTTGTTAAAATAATCATACAATGTTTCATTCTTTTACTTTCACTAGTATACACATCCTTTGAACAAACAAATAAAGTCTGCATGTTTTAACACTGGACCAGGCTTAGACTGTCCCATAAATATTGATCATTTTGGTTTTTTAATAGTAACTCAAAGGTTTGTTTGATTTTTTTAGGGTTTTGATAGTGGATTTTGATATCCACCACGGAAACGGAACTCAAAATCTGACTTACAATAGATCTGACATCATGTATATTTCGCTACATCGATTTGACGACGGCAAATTTTTTCCAAACGATCCAACTTCAGATTACCAGTATGCAGGTGAAAACGATGGATTGCACTACAATGTAAACATTCCTTTCAATAAGGTATGATTCATCAGTAGGTTAATTTTAATATCTATAGACTGTGAAAAACTTTATTTGCCAGGCTCTTGTGCAACCGCAATTTTTATTGATCATCCAAGGAGGTTGATACCGGTGAAAAACCAGATTTTGTAATCTATCGATGTTTCACAAAATGTAGGTGCTTCCTTGTAGGAGAATCATCGTGTCTAACGAGGGGAAATTTGTACAAATTTTCTTAAACAGTTTTTATTGATCATTGTTTTTTGTTTTGAAATTGCTTTCTATATATATTTTTTAAAGGTCTCAACATATTGATGAGAATGGGAAAAATCTGAGTAAGATAATTAATGGATTGAGAATATATACTAAATATCTAGATGCAGCATGTAGAATTTTCCATTTTGCTAATTCTGAATCTATATTGAGATACGAAATTGTGTTATCGGAAAGTAATGGAGATGCTGAGAAACTATTCCTAATTCAAAAACGATCAATCTGAATCATAATTACATGAAATTTAATGTCTCGTGTAGAACTGAACTACCGAATATATTAAAGATATCAGCCATAATTAACAATTCAACATACTATAAGAGTTTTACTCTAAATATTTCCTCACTTTTTAAATTAACGTTATACGCTGATAATCTCTCGATATTAGTATCACAAAAATCTCACGATCTCAATCAACAAGCTTGAAATGATCTTATGGAAAAAATTATTCTATGGTTCTCCATTAATAGTCTTTATATCAATGCTAGCAAGACAGAGTTTATTATTTACCACACAAAACAGAGAACGGCTGAAAATATAGACATTCATTTAGGGGAAACGACTCTAGAGAAGTGCCACACCATTAAATTTCTAGGTGTAACTTTGAGTGATACACTTGATTGGGAATCTCACATGAGTGAAACAATAAAAAAATTGAATAGTAAGCTTTACCAGATCAATTTTTTACAAACAACTGTGATATGGTCAGACCACTTCAAACAGTTGTCTACATGAACGCCAAGGAATTTTGTACAGCTTGTGCATGCCAGTGCCATTCCATTGATTAGTAAGGCAAGCAATTGCTTTTTCAGACCTTTTTTTAAATTAAAATAGATATATTTTGTTTTGGTCGAGTTTACAATCAGATTGTTCATTTCTCACCAATTTAAGAACAGTTATATTAATTCCTCTGTTTTTCATTTTAATTCCTCCTGATTCTCTGCTGATACAGCTAAAGACGTGTCATCTGCGAAAAGAGTAAGAGCATATTCATTACAAGTGAAATAAGTAGGCAGATCATTTACAAACAATAGAAAGATCAGCGGACCTAACACAGAGCCTTGAGGAACTCCAGAACATATATCATGATAGTCTGATTTCATATCTTTAATCTTGACGAACATCATACGATTTGTAAGAAAGTCAATGATCCATTCTAGGAAGTCCCTCTGAATCTTAGATTATATAATTTGCTCTCGATGAATTTAAAATTTAAACAATCGAACGCACGTGACAGATCGAAGAATAGTCCTTCAACATGCTTACCACGATCTAAAGAAGCGTATATGATTTCTAAGAAACTCCAAGTAGCTGATTGAGTGGACTTGCCTTTGCAAAAACCATATTGAGAATCGGACAGGATCTTAAACCTTGATAAAAATCTTAATATTCTCTCATTCACAACTTTTTCAAAGATTTTTGATAAAATGCTTAGCAGGGCCACGGGGCGATAGAATTGAAGGAAATTTGCCATTTGTGACTGATAGATTCAACAAATAAGCTAAATGTTTTGAAATATGTAACTTAATTCCTTTTGAAATTCTCACTGATATATTATCAATTCCTGTACTTTTTTATTTTTTAGACTGTTAATTACTGAGTCAATTTCACATTCGTTAACGGGCATAAAGAAAAAAGTATTCGATTCAATTCCAGAAAGCGTGCATACGTAGGATCAATTGTCGCCAAAATGGTCTGCTAAGCTATTTTCTACCACTGAAGAGAAATAGTCCCCAAATATGTTCGCAACATGATCTCTATCTGTGATTACTTTATTATTATAGTTGAGAGTAATATCTCTTTGAATTTTTTTTCCGTTCGTTTCTTTGTTGACTAGGTTCCAAACTGTTCTATTTTTATTGTTGGAATTCTTAATTACATTCTTAAAAATTCGACTTTGAAGCTTTTGTTAATGATTCATAGTCTTTCTTCGCTTTTTTTATGCAGCACGATAATCTTCGTTGCCTATATTTTTACATAACCAATGCATAATTTTCAAATCAAGACTGGCCTGTTTCACTTCAGGAGTTATCCAGTTATGTTTGTTACTAGTGGACGATTTGTGTTTTTTGGTCGTACAATATTCGATAGCATCACTTATAATGTTCATGAAGGCCAGAAAGCTCTCATCTAGATCAGTTTTGTTATATATTACATCAAAACTGGTCTTGGACAATGTCAAGGAGAGTTGTTTCAAGTTATGCTCTGATACATCTCTATACATAAGAGTGTTCAACAATTTTAGATTTTTCTAATGGCATATTATAAGTAACTGTAAATACTTTGTTTGTGATCACTGAAACTACCTTCATAAACATTAGATTTGCAAAACATGTTCTCAACGTTTGTTAGTATGTAATCGACTTTAGTAGATGAAGTCCCTGACTGGTTGGTAAAAACTCTAGTAGGAGTCAAAGATGTCACTTGTAAATTGAAATTGAGTAGTAGTTCATCTGATTGGATCTTTCCATTTGTATAAGTATATACACGCATATCCAAGTGCAGGGTAGAGATAAGTTTTGCCCGAAGTGATTAGATACGGAATTTTCAGCTGCATTTGAGAAATATTCAGCAAATAGTTCAGTCACTTCCTCTGAGTCAATTGTAGACCCATCATCATGTTTAAGAGTTGTTTGTGCTTCTTCCTAATTCTTTATTTATTATCTTCCAAGTCTCTCTAGTTTTGTTTTCTGACTGGTTTATTCTAAACTTAAAATAGTTTTCTTTTGCCAAACCGAATCGCTGAGGGAGCTAAGTGCATATCAAAACTGCTTCGAGGATTGTAAAATATGCTGGCACAAGTATATTATATCTGAGAGGGACTACTGTGAAGGAGACAAATTAGAAATTGATGAATAAATGAATATTTTTTGAAAAAAAATTAAATTCGCCTTATTTTTCCAACAGACCCCTTATAATAAATAGAAACTAGTCATGTCATTAACTTTGTTTATTCATCACAAATTTACGTCCATATTTTTTGCAGAATATCAAAACTGACACCGACTATTGGAACGTTTGGCTCAAACTCGTGCTACCTCTGGCTTTTTCCTATAAGCCGGAATTCGTGATCGTATCAGCAGGATTTGATGCCGGATACTTTGACCCACTCGGAAAAGGTTACAAACTCTCGCCAGAACTATTTGGTCAGTTTATCCAAACACTTAAGCCTCTAGCTTCCAGTAGAATCCTTGTCGCCCTGGAAGGAGGTTATCAAATCGACACCACAGGCTTATCCATGACAATGTGCCTGAAGGCTTTGCTTGGTGATCCGATACCTGTACCAAAATTTGAAGAAGGGCTTGACGAAGACACAGTGCAAACTGTCCAGAACGTTCTCAAAACGCATAAAAATAAATGGAAGATGTTGAAAGTTAACAAAAAAATTTCTACGTCTTGTGTAGAAGACTAGAGCTATGTGCAGCTTTTGAAAAGAGTTTAATAGTCATAAGTATTAGTGAAAGAGAGCGACAGAGTGCCTTATGTAGATCGTTTTTGGTACAACGATTTTTATCTTCTCTTGTGAAAGTATTACATTCAAAAGTATTACGATTTAGATAAATTCTCCTTTTATAGTTTAATAAAAGTAATAACTTTAAATTAACTGCTCTCGAATGTGATGCTGTTCCTGATAATAATTACACAATGATGATGCCGTAAGAAATGAATATTATACTACTTGGCTACAATTCTTATATACACTAGTAGTAGGTACCTAACTCAATTAGTTGATGGTAAATAACAGGTAGAATTAGTAAACCAATTACAATCTCATTTCTTGGTTATTTAGATTGAAATGACATTAGAAATGTTCACTAACAGACATGGCAATAGTTGCATATTTGGTTCAGGTATTGAGCTGGGAGGGGAGTATTCTCCATCAGTAGGGAAATAATTTGGAAAACGTAAGGAATGAATTCTAAAAAAGAAATGGTGTTGTAAAAATTTGGATGTATTTATTTTTGAAGAAAAAAACCTTGACTATCTTGCCGCAGAATTCCCTGGAAAATGGGGAAAAGGTTATCTTCAAAGGATATTACAACTGATTGTTTTGCTTTGCAAACAATACTGGAGTTATTCAACAGCAGGTAAGTTTTTGAGTATGAACGAAATTATTGGCATTATGAAAAAACGTTCAATAATGGTGAGTGGTCAACATCCTGTTTGTTGTTCAGCAGGGAACTCGAACGATTGCTCTTATTTCCAGAAACTCCAGAAGGTTTAACTTTTGTCCTTTACACTCTACATGGAGTATGTCGTACATAGTGTTAAAATCGTGATCGTTCTCCAAAAGGTGGCACACATAGGTGAAGAACACCAATTTTACCTGTGCTTGTCACTTTTTGGAGAACTATCACGATTTCAACACCCTGTACGAAATACTCCATGTAGAAGCTGAAGGACAGGAGTTGAACCTGCTGGAGTCTCTGGAAATGAATTATTTCACCAAATTTTTGGTGAGATTTTGCTACACAGGCTGTACCACAGATTATCGGACAGGATAAACTAGTGTTTGTTTTTGTCATTTCAACACCAATGGATTTACAAATTCCACCTATTATCTCTTTCACTATTAACCAATATATACTGCTGTAAATAAAAATTGCAGCCCAGTGTTTATGAATATTATTGGAGTTTTATCCCAACACCAAACCGTTATTTTTAACACATCGAAACACGTGTTGAAGTGTTGAAAACGATGATTTGGCATTGGAATAAAACTCCAGTAAATGTGTAATAGTGTGTAGAGTTGTAATATTCATTTCTACCAAGGAAGCTATGGTGTAAGTGTAAATTGTGTAATTATTATCATGGATAGTCTTATTAATTCTCATCAAGTCTGTTCATAATTTCAAAGACTGGTATTATGTTTATAAATTTCGGAGTTTTTCTACTTGAACTCTATATAAAGTCTAGCCCAACTCAAGTGAGCAGCATTCCATTTTGAATTAAAATTTATTTTTGTGTTCCTTAATGTTTTTTGTTGATTATGAGAGTTTATATTGATCTTACTGTTGCTTAAAACGTACTGACTTCCTTGTACAAATGTTTGTGTTTTTGTTTAATCAAAGTGCATCTTAAAACTAATCAGATACGTACTATTGACATGTAACTGTGTTATAATGAAATCATTCATGCATTTTGTTTACCAATAAAATACTTAAATTACAAAGGACTTTTTTTTCTCCCGCACAATTGAAATAATTAAATGGTAAGTACTGAAAGAAATAGTAGATTGCAGATGTTTGTTAAGAATTACATCCTAGCTTTAGTAATCTTTCAAAACAGGACAGAAGATCTTTGAATCATACTGCTTTTTTTTGGTATTCACCCTGTCAGGATTTGAAAAAAACAGCAAAGCTAAATGAATAGTATTCAAGAAACATTTTATTGTGAAATTTTCACTGGACAGTTAACGAAGCCAAAGTTACATCATAAAATCGGTTTCTCAGGCGTTTTTATACTCACTAGTCTTTGCCTAATCAGTGCAGTAACAATTTGATTCATATGGCCTTCTACGTATTTAATGACCAATAATTTTAGCAGAGTTCAGGTAAAGAGTAATTAAACATTCAAACTTGATAAAAAAAATTGATCAACTCATTAAATAGACATTAATAAACTAATCACCAATTTCCACATCAGTAAACAGATTCAGTTAACTATCAGAATGAGTTTCAAACCTTTCCCTTTCATGTCCCTTTGTCAAAAGATGATTCGTAATTGTGGAATTGGTCTTCCATCCAACAAACTCATATGCTCTTTTATTCTTTAGGAAAATGTTCTTTCCGTTTGACCAATATGTACTATTGAACGCTGCCACTGTATGTGGAAGATTTGAATTTTAACGAATAAATCATTGTCAGCAACAGTTAAAAGGTAGATATTATCAACGCCATTATTTCCAAAAAAAAAGGGAAAAACGACCTATTCGCCAGGTCAATCCCACTTCGAGAAACAATACTAAAGGCAACAGGGCATTACATCCTTTTGTGAACCCATCAATGAAATCGCTGATTTTTTGAAAATGAACGTTGCTCGCCGGAAAAATAGTAATCCAGGCAAATTTATCAAAAAAACCATAAAAGACAAAACTTCAGTGTCATATAGATAAGGAGTAAATAATTTGACGTGTGGTTTTTGCCCAAAACTTTATATTGGCCAAACGGGGAGAACCTTTGTTGGAAGAACAAAAGAACATAGGAGTTGTTTCTTGAATGTAAAGAGCAATTCCACATTTGCAAACCATCTTTTGACAGAGAGGCATGAGTTCAAGAAAAAATGCCGTATAATTCAAATTTTTATTTCATACAGCGTTTATATGATAACAGTTTTAATTATACGACCTTCCACCTTGAATACAAAGAGCAATTTTCGTAGAATTGAGTCAGTATGGAAATGCTTGAGGAAGAAATTGTATAGCGAAACGTGTTACTATTTTATAAATTGTGCAGTGAAAATTTCATAATAGAGTGTTAGTTGAATAAATACGTTATGAATTTTCATCATCGACCATTTGAGAAGGGATTACTTCAAGAAGCGTTAACCAACTAAAGGAAGCTAAGTCAATCAATTGTATTCATAGATTATTCAGTTTGTGCGTAAAATTCGTGAATACATCAAGTAAGTGACTTATTGAACTTCCAGTGGTTTATATTACACAGTAACTTTTCCGTACGAATTTTCCTTTATTATACTCTAGCAGATTCTCTATTGCTTCGCTCATTTTTTTTAGATTGTGGAATGTTGAATATCCAAAAACCGCAAAAAAAACATTGATTTCTTCACAAATAATGTCTTTCAAAGATAAAGATCTTTATAATTTGTTATTTAAATTAGAAAATTTTCGTTAAATTAGGAATTCCCCTAACGTTCCATCTTTTTAGGTGCAGAAGTACTTAGCCCATAGAATTGTTGTTCTGTGGTACAGAGATTACCCACTGAACTCAAATATACCCAGTAACGTAATAATGGATTTGGACTGGCTATTGAAAAGAGAACATTGACTCCAACAACTAAAAAAAGATGAAGAGATTCATGTCCTGGCATTTACGTCACTCACACATCTAATATCAGATACGTCACGATGTTTGTGTTGCGAATTTCTGTGTGAAAATTTTGGGATTCTCTTTGTCAAATGATGCTGTCACGCAGTGGCCAAGACGTTGTCTTATCCGCAGGTGGACTATATGTGAAGTGACGTCATGCTCAGTCCATATATTATCAGGTCTATGAATATATCTTGGGACTAGAACGCGCTTGTGTGCTGTGTTTCATGGGTTTGAAAATCTTATCCATATATGAGCAATAAGAGTTAATAAACTTATTCGTCACGATTTGGCTATTCGAGAGGAAATGGGAAATGTTTCGAACGTATGTCCTCAGAAAACACGATGTCATTTGTAAATAATGCTTTGATACCGTATTTCATGTTGTGTTTAATCGTGATGAAAAGTATCGACTTTTCAATATTATAAAACAATTGTTAGACTACCATTCGTACAAATCGTTGTATCCATTGTACTACAATAAATTATTTCGTTGAGGAATGTGCTAAGCATAGGGAAAGGCAGAATAATAACATTATTATTATCCTCTACGGTGAATGGATAATTGCAGAGATGCAGTGAAATTGCTTCTAGTATTGTTGTTACTCATTTTCGGAAATATCCGATATTTTTCGACCAACACGAGTATTCTCTTCTTCCATAAATTAGGGCAGTTTTTTTAATTTGGCAGCAATCAAAGTTATGACAGCTCTGTTGTTCTGTGTCAAAACTAGTCATCAAAACTGTCAAGTTCGTTGGCTGGATGGGAATTTGATTTGCCTCCTGGTTTGTCGGTATTTTGAAGGAAATTGTAAATTTTTAAATTATGGCCCCCTATAAAATTGTTATGGTTCGGCATGGCGAATCAGAATGGAACGAGAAAAATTTATTCTGTGGGTGGTATGATGCAAATTTAAGTGAAAAAGGTGAGGAAAACGATTTAACCTTGAATGACCTTTCTTCTTAACCTTATTGTCAATTTTCAATTAGTCTGATTATTCTCAGTATCGGCTTTTATTGATATTATTCTTATTCCGTTAAGTACTATTATGATCGAATATTTTTTATCCTTGTTTCCATTCATCCTAATACAGTAGTTGTTAATGTCATTTATTGTTTTCAGGTAAACAGGAAGCAATCAATGCTGGAAAGGCACTTAAAGATGCTGGCACTAAGTTTGACCTTGCTTATACATCCGTTCTCACCAGAGCCCAGAACACATTGCAAGCCATTTTGAAAGAGATTGATCAAACTGACTTACCGACCACCAAAACTTGGAGATTGAACGAGAGACATTATGGTGGTCTGACAGGTCTCAACAAAGCGGAAACTGCTGCTAAGTATGGGGAAGAACAAGTGGCAATATGGCGCCGTAGTTTTGACACACCTCCTCCACCCATGGAACCAGATCACCCTTATTATGAGAATATCGTTAAAGATCCACGATATGCAGAGGGACCAGCACCAGACCAATTTCCTAAATTCGAATCTCTGAAATTGACAATTGAACGTACACTGCCATTTTGGAATGATACTATTGTTCCACAAATCAAAGCTGGGAAGCAGATATTGATTGCTGCCCATGGAAACAGTCTTCGTGGTATCGTCAAACATTTAGATAGTAAGTTACTTCATTTAGGCTGACCATTATCATTATATTTGGTGATTTATTTTACATTTATTCCATAACATTAAACTCAGATCTCATTCCAGCCCATTTATCTGTATTAATTTTGTGTTCCTGGTACTCATGGTTCTGGTCAATGTAGTCAAAATTATCTTGTAACTTAATAAAATTTCAATTACTTAATTCAAAAACTGTATAAGTCAATTTTCTCGAATATGAATGTCTTGGTCTTGAGCATGTCTCAAAAATAAAAATGCCAACTATTCAATAGCCCTATTAACAAAAATTCATTTTATTATAGACATGTCAGAGGAAGCAATTATGAAACTCAATCTTCCAACCGGCATTCCGTTTGTTTACACTCTGGATGAAAATCTGAAACCAATTAAAAGCTTGGAATTTTTGGGTGATCCAGAAACTGTCAAGAAAGCAATGGAAGCTGTAGCTGCCCAAGGAAAGGCCAAATAGTAATTGATGCTAGTGATTGTTCAAACATGTTTTATTTATATAAATGATTAGGACTATATGTGTAAAATCGAATTTTATTGAAAAATGAATGTTAGTTTGTGACTGCCAAATAAAAGAAGTTGAAACATAATAGATATTTTTCTGTGTTTACAAACAATTTCAATGGTGATTTAAATGTTCAATAAAGATGGCTGTGTGTTGCATTGACAGTTATATTTTATTAATGAAACAAGTTAAAGGTAATCAATTTTTGTGTGAATATTCCACTATTCTGTGATTAAAGGTCAATTTATACATCTTAGTCATCGTCTCCTATCCTAATTTCAGTAAAAAAAATTTCAATGTGTATGTTTCATGTTCTTGAATTGTGACTTTGAAAGTTTCCGAATTTCAACTTTTACTGCTAAGACCAGTAATGTATTGTCAATAATGTGCAAGTGCATGACCACAAATAGGTACTTTTTCAACTAATCCAATAGCGTTTTCCATTGGTACGTACACCAGTTCTGTCAAATTTCAATATCAGTGCAGTCCCAATGCAACATACATTTCAGCACGTCAGTCAATATACTTCATATACGCACTAGCGTCTATCACTGTTGTTTCCGGGGCTACTTCAGTAACAAAATGTTACTTTTTATTGTTTTAAATCACCAAGTTACCTTTTTACCCATTTTGTTACATTTTAAGTAACTTAAACTGACAGTTTACACATCAGAACTGACCGTTGACATTCATAACTGAGAGTTAACGTATCGAAACCGACGATTGTGTTCGATGTCAACATGTTGACGTGTTCTGTCACTTTTGAAAATAAATCGGCTAGTAATACCAACTGCTCAGCGCGAAATGCTGCGCTCTGTGTGCGCGACTCATTCAAAAGTTACTATTTATTGTCGAATATTACTTTTTTCGACATAGTCTGTTACTTTTTTTTCCGAAAAGGAAGAAATATATCAACACCTATAACCTAAAAATAATCCAAGCTATTTTTTATGCAGTCCTACCATACGACAATGGTGAGATCATTGATATAAATTATATATACAAGGAAGTCTATATGTAACAAAATCTATGGTAAAAATGGTATACTGGTAGATAACGACATCTCAATCCAATTTACGGCATTTGACATACGTTCCGTGGCGTGTTTCATCCAAAAATATCTCTTTCAAATGTTTTTTCTGTGTCAACAAAATACATTCCTTTCCGTAAATTGTCAAATGTCATTTTTGAGTGATCAAAGAAGAACTAATAGTTCAATGTATAAGTTTGAAAATGTCCTTATAGGACGAAACTGCAGTAACGTTAATTACAAATAAAAGTGGTGAAAACATAGAAACTCTCAATTTTCTTTTCTTCATTAAAGTAATAGTCGTCATCATTAGTTATCTATATCTATAGTTTAGTAACATTATTATGTTTCTTGATCATTCTTTGAAACATCGAAGATTCCCAATGTTATGAATTCAAATTGAATATAAGGTGTCACCACACATTGGATTGATACTATTTAATCTATCTATTTGAAAGTTGTTTTTCTCGGAATTCCAGGAATAGTGTTGAGAAGCGAAACTATTTACATTACTGAAAAGACTGGAAAAACCATAGAAGGAAAATATTAGTTTGTCACCAGAGTAGTCGTATTTCCTACGGGGTAATTTATTAAAACAATGATTTTTATACTGTACCTAATCTATGACATAGAACGGTAAACTAGTTTTCTGTGGTCAGACTGTACAAAACGGCTTGATCTCTCGCTCCTTCTCTCTCACGTTAAATATACAATTGTATTAGTTTACAAAACTCAAATTCATATATGTTCATATATAGACTAATATAGACTAATTTACTTATTATCTGTCTAGAATAAAATCTCTTTTTACTTTTGATATAAAAAGGAATTAATTCAATAACCTATGGTTGCATTTTAGGTTTTAGTCAACAATTATTCATGAAAAAACAATGCATGTAAGAAGGATCTTCCAACATATTTCCTGATTTTCAGAAAATTTACAGAAAGAAAAATTAATTTTTCGTGGTTACATTTCTTCATAAACATTGTTTTGAATAACCCTTCTTATTATATTCTTGTAAACTATGGATTTTTCGACGCTACTGTGTTTAGGGTACAATGCAGTATTTTAGGAAAAGCAGCTGTTGTTGATGCCGACATATTGATACGCTTCTTAGCGATAAGATATAAATTAACGAATTATGTGGTTGGATACAGCAGAAAAAGGATTGGAGACAATGTAAATTTCTATGAAACAACAGCTTTAATGGTAAAAATATTAGAGACAGAAACATGGACAACCAAAGAAGTGGAAAAATATCAAACTGTATCGGAAAATTCGGGTAGCGCGGAAGGACCAATACAAAGCCAAGCTTCGACCGCCGACGAGATTCGTCCTCTATCTTTTACTGCAGCTTTCACTGCAAGGTAACTAGCTGTATTTTTGGTCCAGCCTAACACCACTGATCAAGCCTATGGCGGGTCGAAACATCACTGCCCAGTATTGAACCATGAACACGTTGTGTTTGGGCTTTAGTTACAACTAGTTGTTTTGCTGCTGTGACAGACAGAGGACGAATTTCGTTCGACAATCGACGCTGGGCTTTGTAACTGGCCGTCTTGCGGAGTCTCATTTATCTGTGATATTCGAGGAATTGAGTTCCTGTCGATCCCACAGATGGCGTCTTCGTGGGGGGACATGTCATCGCCTCTAAATTACGACTTTAATCTCGAAGTTCCAATTTTAATCGCGAAATTCCTACTTTATTCTCGAAATTTCGACTTTAATCTCAAAATTTCAATTTTAATCTCAAAATTCCGACTTCGATCTCGAAATCCTGACTTTCAACTCGAAATTACGACTGTTTTCTCGAAATTTCGACTTATAACTCGAGATTTCGACCTCAATCTTGATATTTCGACTTCAATCTCGAAATTACGACTTTTTTCTCGAAATTCCGACTGTTAACTCGAAATTTAATCTTGATATTTCGACCTTAATTTCGAATTTACGACTTTGATCTCGAAATTTCGACTTTTAACTCGAAATTTCGACCTTAATCTTGATATTTCGACTTCAATCTGGAAATTATGACTTTTTTCCTCGAAATTTTGACTTTTAACTCGAAATTTTGACTTTCAACTCGAAATTTTGACCTTAATCTTGATATTCCGACTTTAATGTCGAAATTACGACTTTTTTTCTCGAAATTTTGACTTCTGATTTGAAAATTCGACTTTAAACTCGAAATTACGAATTCAATCTCAAAATTTCGAGCACAGTCTGTAAATTTCCACTTTAAAATCGAAATTACGACGTTATTTTCGAAATTTCGACTCGTAGACTGGGAATTATGACTTTAATTCGATTTTTAATTCTCGAAATATCGACTTTTAATCCAAAATTTCGACCTTAACCTTGATATTTCGACATTAATCTCGAAAGTTCGACTTTCATTTTGAAATTTTGTTTTTTGATTCGAAAATTCGACTTTAAAGTCGAAATTACGATTTCAATCTCAAAATTTCGAGTACAATCTGAAAATTTCCATTTTAAAATCGAAATTACGACTTTATTCTCGAAATTTCGACTCGTAAACTGGAAATTACGACTTTAATTTCGAAACTACTACTTTTTTTCTTGAAACTTCGACCTTAATCTTGATCTTTCCACTTCAATATCGAAATAACGACTTTTTTTTCTCGAAATTCCGACTTTTAACTCGAAATTTAATCTTGATATCTCTACCTTAATCTCGAAATTTCGACTTTTGATTCGGAATTTCAACTTTAAACTGGAAATTACGACTTTCATCTCAAAATATTTACGTGGAAATGAAATTGTGAATATCCTGCATGTATATATTTCATGTAAACTTACCTCTGCCCTTCCGTGTATTGCAATTACGTTTATCAATTGTGAAACTGCTTCCTCCATAATTTACTGGTCTTCAATCAAACGTGAAAAAATGCTCCATCAAAATATAATAATTTATTCAATAAAAATATATAAATTAAGCAAAATATAATAAAAATAAACATGTATTTCTGACTAGAATATTGACTAAAATGAATGCACAAGAAATAATAAATACATTGACTAGCTTTCAAAACGTTTCTAATTAGAAGGTCTACAAATACACACAATTCAGAATGAAACTTAGATCTAAGTAGATATAACAAGGTTTTGGACACTGTGCTATAGGTAAACTTATGATTTCATCGCTGGTTTTTTTCCATCCGCATTTCTTAATGGGGCAGATGCAACAGCCAAAGCAGGCTGATCAACAGAGGTAGATCGTTTTAAATACTTTTGTTTTGAGATCAGTTTGGAGGTAGACTTGGGATATTACGATTTTGTGGAAGAGAACTTCTGAATCAAGATATAAATTGAACAATAGTAGACAATTTTTCTGGTATCTTCACTTGAACATGAACCGGTCTGTATAATTTGATTCTTCGAAAGGAAGTACAATTTATTTCAAGCAAACGTTCTTTCTACTAACTTATTCTACAAAATTTTTGTCAATTCGAATGATCTCCAATGGTGACTTTTAAAAAAGACGTACTCTGATTTGCAAGCAGTATAATCATCTCACTAATTGACGCAATTCATTGGTAAATTTACACTCTGGGTTCTCACAAAAGCACTTCCTCAATCGAGATTGAAAACTTCACAACAATTTTATACTCTCCAACATTAGTTACTACCCACTGTAATTAATTAAATTACTTGAAAGACCAGATATAATCAATGATTTACTGAGTTCTAGTAAAAACAGGTAAAAAAAATCAATGATAGTACATAGTTTCCACAAGGATGAGCCTCAAACATTTCTTCGGGAAATGCAGAGTTTTGAATGTATGATTCAACCCATGTCTCTCTATTAGACGGGGATTGCCATACTCATGGCATAGTTCATTTTACTATTCTGGAAACTTTTCTATGTTCTTTTGTTAGTGCTTTGAACGCTCTTCAAGTTTGACCAACGTAAAACATCGGACATGATCCACAAGACAATTTATAAACTCCTGACACCAAACTAATTTTTTGTTGTTTTCAAGGTTAATGCTGAAGTTATTATTGGTTTGATAAACCGTGTTTACACCTTCAT